GTTCCAACCCCAGAGCGCGCCGGTGCAGGGAAAGAGAGGCACCGGAACTGCACTCGGACGTCCTACTGTCGCCCCCCGCCGCCCCCAGGGTCTGCCCGGAGGCGACTGCTTGGGGAAACCGTCCCCAAAAGGAAGGTCGCTCTCAAAGACCGTAGACGGTCAAGCCGAGACCCGGAGCGGTAGAGGGAGCGCGCCTTCGCGCCGATCTCCGAATCTTCCTGGCACCGCGTCTGCAAAAGCCTCCTCCTGGGGAAAGCCGCCCGACTTCACGCCCCCCGGGAGTAGCGCAGCGGTCGAGAGGCTCTCGATTCTGGTGCCTGGGAAAAGGGCGCACAGGGGTTCCGTGAGATCCTTCGGGGAGAGGAAGACGCCCTCCAGAGGGGGCTCCGGATCCTCTCTCCGTTCCCTGGATCTCGGGATTGGAGAGCAGCGACCCCCAGAGCCCGGCTGCCTTCTTGCTTTCCGCTCCCTGGGCGGGGTTGCCTGGACGGCACCCGGGAGCCAAAGCTCAGCCTGGGCCCCGGAACCTGCACCTGGCTGAGGAAGACTCGCCAGCCACGGGCCTGAGCACGAGAGCAGCCGGGGGCCCGAGAGCTTCACGCAGAGTTAGAGACCCGTATTCGCAATTTCTATAAACCCAAGATACAGAGCCAAAAGTAATAACCCCTTCCGTTTGCTAGCGATTTTTATGATTTACAAACTCACGCACAAGGTCTCATCCTTAAATACTTGGATCCCTAGCACAACCTGGGCGATACACAGGGCAGGTTATGGCCATTTTTGCAGCTCAGGAAACAGGTGCTAAGACTCTTTGTTTCCTTAATTCAACATTTCTTGAGGCACTGGAGGATTCAAGGATAAATAAAACAGGGTTCGCCCTCAAGGAGGGGGCCAGAAAACGACACCCTAGTTTACTCTGTCTCTGGTAGGAGTCCACAAGAGCTATAGCACACATCTGGAAGGTGGGAAAGCCCGGGCTCAAACCCCAGGGCTTCTGACTTTTATTCAAATGCTCTGCGCACGACCCCTGAGCGCCTGAAGATCCGGAAGTGGTGCAGAAACCCACACACAATCCTTCATTACAACCCTCCCGATCTCCACTGGATCCCGGAGTAACATTGTTCACAAAGTACCGACATATTATTTGGGTAATGTATTAATTTGTAAGCTCCGTGTGGGTAGGAGCCACATCTAGCTTGTTTAAGGCTGAATTTTCGGGACTAGCCCAGAGCCTGGCACAGAGCTGGCACTCAATAAATATTTGTTGAATGAATCACAAATAACGATAACTCGGAGCAAAATAACACCACGAGGAAATGTGGTCGCTCACTGCCCTAGTGAAGGACCATAAAGGGAATTCGAAGCATGTGTGTGTGGAGGGCGGGACAGGTGTTCCCTTCTCATCCCCCACCGGGTCCAAGCTACAGACCCTGAATTAGCCTTCTGTATGGGCTTTCTTTCCTAAGTTCTCAAAGAAGTGACCCTGGAGGGAGAGAAGGACGTTTCCCTTCGGCCACGAGGGTGGTGGGCAAAGGCTGATGGCAGTTCCGCGGGTCCCCGGCAGGCCTGGGCCTGTGCCTCCGGCCTCCAGGATTCCGGGCCGAGCCGCAGGCGGCAGTGTGGCCGGGACTGAGGCGGATGCGTGCAGCCACGCCAGGGAAAGCTCCTCGAGAAGCCGGAGCTGGGCCCTGCCCTGCCCTGCCGTTGCCCACCGCGCCCACCCCGCCCGTGAGTGAGTTGGTTGAGGGATGAAGACGTGCGGGCCCTACAGGGTGGACTTGGGGTTCCCAGGTACCCCCTGCAGCCATGGAGAAATTACTGGTTTAACCGCGGTCCACCCTGTTTAAAGTGAGCTGAAAGGACACTCTTTGGTCAGGTAGAGGTGTTGGGGCCAGGGGAGGGACTGCCAGGGCCTTCGCTTGGACAAGCTCGGAGATACAGATATTCGCTTCTTCCCCACAAGACGGCTTAGTCTTCAGGCTTATTCTTCGCAGTGCAGCTCATCCGGGCAAGAGCGCGGAGCGGCGTGTGTGTGTGTGTGTGTGCGCGCGCGTGAAGGGGCAGGGGTAGGGGAAGCGCGGGGGCCGGCACCGCAGGGCGCTGCAAAGGCCCGGCGAGGTCTAGGCGAGAGCGGGCGCTGGTGCGCGCGCCTGCCGGGGGAGTTTGCAGCCCCAGGTTGGTCGCGGGGGAGAGGGTGGGGCAGGAGCGGCCGCCTGCCCGCCTCCCTCACATTCCCGCTCCTGCTCAGCGCCCCAACCTGCTTCCTTGCTCTGGGTCCTGGTCCGGTCTGTCTCGGGTGGGGGCGGGGAGCTGCCAGCCACGTGCGCCGGGGCCTGCTGCGGAGCTGGAAAGCAGCGGAGGGACGAAGGCCGAGGAGGCATGCCTCAGGACTGTGGAAGATTCACCCAACTCTTCCTTCACTAAGACTCAGGGCCTTAAGTGGTGGTGGTGGGGGGGTACTAATGATAACGATACAGAAATCTCGAGCGCTGGCACTGAACTTGAAAAACTCCCAAAGCTTTCAAAGCACTTTTATGTGTCCGATCCTATTTGAATCGCACAAAAACCTTGTGAAGAGTTACCTCCATTTCTAAATGGCATTGAAGCTGGGAGAGACGTACCACGTTCTACAGTTGGTGTTTCTTACGCTTACCAATAATATAAAATGAATAATATGAATGGAGAAGGGAAAGAAAGAAGATGGTGACTGGGAACCACCCCACCCACCCCCGGCCTTGGCAGTAAGACCCCAGTGGAGACGCAGGCCCTGGCCCGGGGCGCCTGCAGACAAGATCTGTATTCAGTTTTGTCCGCTCTCCGTTCCCTTGAGCCCAGCGTCGCCTTCCCTCCTTGCTCCTTGGGCTTAGACGTCACGTTGACCAAAGCGCAGTTGATGGGCCTGAGTCCTTCTTGAAAGCGCCCCCCAGAGAAGCCTCTTGGAAGGAAGGGCAAGGAGCCGGCTTGGCGCCTATCTTACGCAGCACAACCTACAAGCGCGACTCGGCCCCAAACTCAGGGTTGCCTGCCCCAAAGCCGCCCAGGGGGCCGCGCCGAAATGTGGGCTCACGCGGACGGGGGATGGGGGGTGGGGGGGGTGCCCTGAGCTTTCTCTCCTCTGGTAAGGGACAGGGACGTAGGTGGTGAGGAAAGCCAATGCTGGTATAGAAGTTGGCTTTGTATTGAGGGAGTGCAGAGCACTCCTTAAGGAGAGAGGATTGAAATCCTAAAATAAAAAGCCAATAAAGAAAACAACTTTCCCTAGCACAACTGCTGTTAACGGAAAAGGCGCCTAAACCTGCTGAATTAAATCGTTCAAAAGTGCCTGTTCGTCATCAGGAGCTCCTTCTCTGCAAAGAGGGGAAAGAAAATGTGAAAACAATAACCAAATTCGAGAAGCCTCCTTCACCGCCCCCGAAGTGTCTTGGAGGCCCCTGCCCGGCCAGAGAGCGCTCCGCCCTCCCAGCCTTTAGCGCGGAAAGGAGGCTAAAACAGCCAAAGAGAGAAAAGAAAACAACAAAACGTTTAAAATCCAAGGGGAAAAGTCGGAAAGGGTCTCAGGATCCGCGCCGCGCGGGGCTCGGCTCCACAGTGCACTGGGCGGGAGGCCCGAGCCCGGCCGGAGCAGAGCAGAGGATGCCTCCGGCCCGCCTGGGGAGCACAGCCCACAGCTCCCCCTCTCCAGGCGCCCAAGGACCCTCAAGGCGCGGGGCTCACACTTGAAGCCTGGGAACGCGCAGACAGGAAACCCACTTCCTCCTAAGCAGTTTCTTGCTCGCCGGATGAGAGGCGCCCAATTGAAGCAGAATGATCCTCATCTACTAATATCCAGCGTGGCCACAAAGCGACTGGCCATTTACGCCTCCACTTTAAACAAAGATATTTGGTTATTCCCGGGAAAGCAAGTGCACTTTTGCATGGCTGAGCTCCGGGCGGAGGGGAGCCTCAGCCCAGCCTCCCGCTCGCCGGGCTACTCGTGCCTCGGGATTGGCCCCCTCCTGGCCAGCTGGTCCCGCCGGGGTTCAGGCTCAGTTCGGCCCGGCAACAGGCGGGCGAGCACTCACGACGCTCTCTGCCCGCGCCCTCCCTTGAAGCATCAGAGGGGAAAACAGCGTGGCCCTGGGCTCGGGTGCTGGGGCTGCGATGTCCTCGGAAAGTCAGCTCCAGCCCCAGGACCCCGCGTGTCCGGGCGATGGGCAAGGGTCGGGGACACCAGGTTTGTTCGAGGTGGGGCGACTTCAGTGATAGCCCCTTGCGTCAGTCCCCCCTCAGCCTCCCAGCTCCCGCGGCCAGTGGTGTGCTTGCCTTGGCCGGGGTGGGGGTGGGGAAAGGGAGACGCGTGTGGGTTGGGGGGTGGGCTTGATGCAGGGGCCCCTGGCCCTCTGAGAAGACCCTGAGCTGGGGGGAGGAGGACGCGTGCATCTGGGACAGCCTCTCGGCGGCAGCCATCCCCTGCTCAGCGCCCCCTCCGCCCGCTGGGATTCTCTCTCGGGTAGGGGGAAAAGGGGGCGGGGAGCAGAGGTGTCCCTCTGACGGCGGCAGAAGAGGCAGACAGACTGACAGACACGTAGACCAACAGTGCGGCCCCAGGGTTCGTCCCCAGACTGGCGAGCTCATTTGGTGGCGACTGGGGCTCGGCGCCGCGAAGCCCGATGTGGTCCGGAGGCGGTGGGAAGGCGCGGGGCTGGGAGGCCGCAGCGGGAGGGAGGAGCAGCCCCAGCAGGCTCAGGTGAAACCCGCACCCCGTCCCTCGGCCCCCTCCCCTCCCGGGAACCCCGACCGAATTGGAAAGTGGTTCACTTTGTGACTCCGCAAGTTGGTTGCAAAGCAGCATTCACCTTCCTTCCTCCCCACCATCCCTCCTCCTCGGCTACTCCCCACCCCACCTCTTGCCCTCCCTTCTCTCGGTTGCCTCCTCCTTTCCCTCCCCCGCCTTCCCCCCGCGCACCACCCGCACCCCACAAAAAATGGGGGTGGGGGTGTCCGGGGGAGGGGGAAAGAAATGCTTTGGGTCGCGTCTCTGCCTCTCTCTCTCTCTCCCCCTCTTTGAGACCTAAAAATCCTGACAAGTGAAACTTAAAGGTGTTTACCTTGTCATCAGCATGTAAGCTAATTATCTCGGGCAAGATGTAGGCTTCTATTGTCTTGTTGCTTTAGCGCTTACGCCCCGCCTCTGGTGGCTGCCTAAAACCTGGCGCCGGGCTAAAACAAACGCGAGGCAGCCCCCGAGCCTCCACTCAAGCCAATTAAGGCGGACTCGGTCCACTCGGTTACGTGTACATCCAACAAGATCGGCGTTAAGGTAACATCAGAATATTTGGCACAGGGAGAAAAAAAAAGCGGCGAGGCTTCGCCTTCCCCCTCTCCCTTTTTTTCCTCCTCTTCCTTCCTCCTCCAGCCGCCGCCGAATCATGTCGATGAGTCCAAAGCACACGACTCCGTTCTCAGTGTCTGACATCTTGAGTCCCCTGGAGGAAAGCTACAAGAAAGTGGGCATGGAGGGCGGCGGCCTCGGGGCTCCGCTGGCGGCTTACAGGCAGGGCCAGGCGGCACCGCCGGCCGCGGCCATGCAGCAGCACGCCGTGGGGCACCACGGCGCCGTCACCGCCGCCTACCACATGACGGCGGCGGGGGTGCCCCAGCTCTCGCACTCCGCCGTGGGGGGCTACTGCAACGGCAACCTGGGCAACATGAGCGAGCTGCCGCCGTACCAGGACACCATGCGGAACAGCGCCTCGGGCCCGGGATGGTACGGCGCCAACACAGACCCGCGCTTCCCCGCGAGTAAGTGAGGCCGCCCCGCTGCGGGGCCGCGGGCTGAGCGCGGGAGGCGCGGGGAGAGCTGCCCGGGAGGTGCTGCGCCCGCCGGCTGCGCGCTGGGCATTCGGTGGGCGGCCCGGCAGCGGCGCCAGGGAGTCGGGCGCGGGAGCTGGGGATTCTTCCCCCTGCTGGGCTGAGGCGTCCAAGATGAGACACTCAGGAGCGCTGGGGTCCTGCGGGCAGGTGCTGGGATTCGGCGTCTCCCAGATGCGGCCGCATGGCAGCTCTGCTCCGTGCAGACCTCGGAGTACCGAGGGAGGCGCCCCCCTAATCAAGGGAGCCGGGGCGAGCTGGGCGCCTAGAGGCGCGGCCTGGCCTGGCGGACGCTGCCCTGGTGGGCACGCTCGGGAGCCTGGCTCGGCCTTCTCTCCAGTCTAGGCAAGTGCGAGGGCGCGCGGCTCCAGAGAGGGCTGTAAACCGGCCGAGCCAGTGCCCTCACTGAGGCTGGCAGGAGAGAGCGGCCAAGAGGCAAAGCGTCTGGGGTCTCTAGCTTCCGAAAGTGAACATCTCCCTTTCCTAAGCTCCCGAAGTTGGGGTCTACCGTCGGAACCCCGCTCCTGGCCTGGGCCCAGTTCGCTGCATGTGGCCCGCTAACCCCGCGACTCCGGCCGGGGTTGAGCACGAAAGAAACAGGAGCGGCCTTTCTCCACTGTGCTTTTTGGGTGGAGCGCTGAGACTGAGGGAGGGAGCCGGGTTGAGGCGGGGTGCTCTCCAGTAAACCCCTCGAAAGCACGGCCTGGGGCAGGCGCTGGCGATCCCCCGCGCCTGGGCCTCTCTGGGCGGAGACGGCCTAGGTGAGGAAGGCGCCGTCGGGGCGGGCTGGCCGGCCAAGGGCGCGGAAGGCAGAGGTGGCCTGGCCTGGCCCGGCCCCGGCCGACGCTGTGCGTTTGTCGCTTACAGTCTCCCGCTTCATGGGCCCGGCGAGCGGCATGAACATGAGCGGCATGGGCGGCCTGGGCTCGCTGGGGGACGTGAGCAAGAACATGGCCCCGCTGCCAAGCGCACCGCGCCGGAAGCGCCGGGTGCTCTTCTCCCAGGCGCAGGTGTACGAGCTGGAGCGACGCTTCAAGCAACAGAAGTACCTGTCGGCGCCCGAGCGCGAGCACCTGGCCAGCATGATCCACCTTACACCCACGCAGGTCAAGATCTGGTTCCAGAACCACCGCTACAAGATGAAGCGCCAAGCCAAGGACAAGGCGGCACAGCAGCAACTGCAGCAGGACAGCGGTGGCGGCGGCGGCGGAGGGGGCTCCGGGTGCCCGCAGCAGCAGCAAGCGCAGCAGCAGTCGCCGCGCCGCGTGGCTGTGCCGGTCCTGGTGAAAGACGGCAAGCCCTGCCAGGCGGGCGCTCCCGCGCCGGGCGGCGCCAGCCTCCAAGGCCACGCGCAGCAGCAGGCGCAGCAGCAGGCGCAGGCCGCGCAGGCGGCGGCGGCGGCGATCTCAGTGGGCAGCGGTGGCCCGGGTCTGGGTGCACACCCGGGCCACCAGCCGGGCAGCGCGGGCCAGTCTCCGGACCTGGCGCATCACGCCGCCAGCCCCGCGGCGCTGCAGGGCCAGGTCTCTAGCCTGTCCCACCTGAACTCCGCGGGCTCGGACTACGGCACCATGTCCTGTTCCACTTTGCTATACGGTCGGACCTGGTGAGAGGACGCCGGGCCGGGCCGAGCCCAGCGCGCTGCCTCGTCGCTTCCCCTCCTGCCCGCCACACGCCACCAACCAGCCGCCGCTCCGTGCGCTTCGACTTTTCTTAAGAACCTTTCCCGTTTAGAACAAGGGAAAAAACCAAGGCCAAACTGCTGGACGTTTTTTTTTTTTTCTAAAATTTGTGGGATTTTTAAAAAAAAGAATAAAAACAACCAAGCGAATCCAATTCTTTAAAGAGTCTTTAAACCGAGAAGGACATAAGATCAGCTTCGGGGGTGTCTTTTAGGTGATTCACATGGGTTTCCCACGCTCGGGCGGGGCACGGTTTGGAGAGCGCCCTATGCTGACATGGCTCTGGACTCTAGAGACCACAAACTTCACTCTGGGTACACTGTGCCAGCAAAATGGACTCTCTTGTAAATACCAGGATTTCTTTCGAAGGGGCGATGGGGGCTGGGAAGAGGAAAGACTCTTCGACAGAACCCACTTGTCACTGACACAAAGGAAATGCCCCCTCCCAGCGCCCTCTGGCCTCCCAGGCTCAGCCGGGACCGGCCCTGGCTAAAATTGTTTTATGTTTGATGTGAACTTGTAGCTGTAAAATGCTGTCAAAAGTTGGACTAAAACGCCTAGTTTTTAGTAATCTGTACATTTTGTTGTAAAAAAAAAAACACACACACACACACAATAGTCCCCAGCCCCAGCCCATCATATTTTTTAATGGGCATTGACAAATCTGTGTATATTATTTGGCAGTTTGGTATTTGCAGCGTCAGTCTTTTTCTGTTGTAACTTATGTAGATATCTGGCTTAAATATAGTTCCTAAGAAGCTTCTAATAAATTATACAAATTAAAAAGATTCTTTTTCTGATTAAAAACCCACCTTTTGTTTGGCTTTGATTTGGCTTTAAATGGCATTTTTTTGGTTGGGGGAGGCAGCTCAGAATTAGCCTGATGGGATTCGAATTGTTTAGGGGCTCAAAGGATCCTGAACCAGCTAAGGAGGCTGGGCCCAGAGTCCTCACCCCACGGGAAGAGGGAGTTTTGTTCTGCCTCCGAATTGAGTAGAAGCAAACCTTGAGCAGTCCTGGGACTTGGCAGTAGACAGGAGAAAGCTAAACTTCTTCCACCAGAACGGTGGAAGAAAGGGAGAAAGAGACCAAAGGACTAGTTTTCTGAGCCAGGCTTCTGTTTTTTGAAACCTCAGAAGTATCTACCGTGGTCTTATACAGCTGAGCTAATGTTCTGAAACAGTCAGCCAGGACATCCGTTTTAAATAACCCTGCATGAGCGATCATTTTTAGTGAAAAGATTGCCCCTGTAGATTTCAACATCCATCCTTTATTTCTAATCCATGGCCGAGTCTCGTCAGAATCAGAATTCCCTGGGAGGCTGTTTTCCAAAGTGGGGAAGTCGTTACCGGTTTCATTTCTGCTCTAAAACAGCTATCCTTGTGCAGGGCTGGCTGCGGATCCCCAACTTCTCCAGCCTCTCTGGCCTTGGGAGGTGTCTGACTGGGCTGCTGGCCTGGGGACACTCTGGCAGGACTTTGGGAGCCAAGCTTTAGCTTTTTGTTCCACCGGTTTCCATCTCTGGGCTCCTAAATCTTTTTAGCAATGAATCTTTCTCTAGTCCCAACTCTCCACCTCTCCCCCCCCCCCCCAGCAAAAAATTCACCTTTGACTTTTCTTCCTACCTCTAATTTCCTGGTCTCTGATGATGCCCAGATGTGACTGGGAACACTTAGGATTGCCCTGGGGGTTGGGGGGAGGAGGAAGGGGTGGCTGTGGACAGAGAGAAATCCTAGTCCCTAGATGGCTGTTGCCCCTTCAGTGTCACCTCTGAGGAACCTCCAGAGGTGGCGAGTGGGCTGTGGATGGACGCCCCTCCCAGCACTTTTCTCTAGGCCTGAAAGTGTTTGATTGTGGGGATTGATTCATATTTGGTATGTACACACTCCTCGCCCAGAGTTTCAACTTTTTTTTCCTTTCTTGCCTCTTTCTATCTTTTCTTCCTCTCTTCTTTATCTCTTTCTGTCTCCATCTCTCTCTTCCCCCACCTCCACCCTCACCTTCCAGAAACTTGTAGGGGAAATCACCTGGCCCCAGGCCCTTGCTCCACACCAGCGGTCCTCTTTGTTGTCTTCCTGGGGGTTCCTCTCCCCTGTTGCCTTAGGACAGGGGCCAATGAGGGCTTCCTCCCCCTGTCTCCCTACTGGGATACGATTCCCAATATCCAGAAGAGACACGGAGATTTCGAGAGGATGGTTGGTTGTGTCTAGAGAGTGTGCTGGTTGGGGGTAATGTCAGCAGGCCTCACATTTTAGAAAACAAGCAAAAACCCGGAAAGTTTGAACACTTGCGTTGGAACGGGCGGCGGTGATCCCAGGACAGCGTGTGTAGGTGGTGAAGTCACCCAATTCAGGCCGGGGCTGGGCAGTGGAGATATCTGGCTCTACGGTTCCAATTCCGTGGAGTGGGAGCCTCCGCTCACCAGCCCCATGCCCAGCACAAGTCTGGGCGGGGTGGGAGGGTGCCGCCGGCGCTGCCCACAGTGGCCAGGGCGGCTGCCCCCCACTCATCCTCGCCGGGAGCCGGGTCCTGAGAGTCACAATTTTAGTGGGCTCTGGTACTTTCGGCCTTGTCACCCTTGCACTAGATGGGGTTTCTGTCAAATACATTCTTCCCCTCACCGTTCAGAGCCGGCTTAATTTGAAGTCTGTTTACTTGTCCCGGGGAAAGGTGAATTCAGCCGTGTCTGCGGACCGGACGGAGACAAATAGGGCCTTGGCCGCTTCTCTCCATCCACCACGTGGGGTTCACCAGCTCTCGCTCCTGGCCGGGAGAATGTTGTAGCTGCAGGAAGCGGCCTTGGAACGCGATTGGAAGCGTCTTGATAGCGAAATAGACGCGCTCTGGGCGCAGTGAAAGACCGCAGCCTGGGGATACCCCCCACCCCCACAGCCCGGTCAGCCTCTGCGAAGCAGATCGTCCTTCTCTCCCGGTCGGACCTCCCCTAGGTCTCCAGCCTCTCTGGCCCGGGTCGGTTCTGGCCTCCCCTAAGGAGAAATCAGCCTTCTGGAGATGCACCTGGCGCTGAAATGCCTGGAAGAGCCAGAAGTTTCCCCACGAGTGGGGGCAGCACAGTTCGCCCCGAGACCCGGCAGAAGCTGAGCGCCCCCGCCTAAGCACCCCACCCATCCCTAGGCCCCGACGGCTGCGGGGAGTGGGGCAGATTTTGCAGACAGCATCTCCCCTTCCTCCTCTCCCCCACCCCCACTCCTGCCATGTAAACATGAGGACTTTCTCGAGAGCCCTGGAGAGCGGCTCTAGTGGCTTCGGGGCCTGAAACCCCAGGCTTGGCTTGTTTGATGTTTAGCATCCCAAAGCGGATCCCCACCCCCGCCCCAGCCTGGGAACCCCGAGCTGTGGGTCGGAGAGGCAGGAAGCAGCCCTCTCAGCTGGCAAGGCCAGGAACTGGGCCGGCTTCAGGGGTGGCGAGAAGAGCAGGACAGAGATGCTCTGAGCAGGGGAGACGGGAGCCCGGGCTGCCGCCGCCCCCAACAGCGGCACAAGCGGGCACAGCTGTAGTCCCCACGGCCAGGAGGCGGGTGGGGTTAGAGAATGCCTCAGCAGCCGGGGCGGCGGCTCTGAGATAGGGGCTGGCCCGGTGGGAAGTAGCTTGGGGCCCGCGAGTGAAATCAGAGCCAGGCCGAGCCGACTGCGCGAGAAACGCTCAGGGCACTTACTCCTAGAGGCGAGGGAGGCCCCGCGCTCCGCTCCGAGGGCCCCGCAGAAGGCAGCCCTTCTCGCTGCTCAAGGCTTGGCCATTCAAAGGGCAAGACTTGCTCCGGACCCTTCCAAGAGATTTTTAATCTTCCTGGGGCAGGGCTAGGCCTAAGTCTGGCATCGAGGTCTCGGATGTTGAGACCCCGGGGGAGAATTCTCAGACTTGAGAGGCCGCACACTCTTCGGCGCGCTCACCGCGTCGGGGCGGCGGTGAGGGGCTATCTCCAGGCGCGAGCACAAAAGGTAGCGCGAGTCTCTTCTCAGGCGACCCGAGATAAGAGGAAATGAGAGCGGGGTTTTCTGACTTCCAACTCATTAGGGACCAGGTAAGGTCAATGCTTTCTCTATTATGTCTTTATCTTAAAAGCGGGTCAATTTAAGATAACGGTGGAAAAAATCCAGGATCTGTGTGAACTGTGCTGATAAAGACTGACCCCTTTCCTGAACTAAAAGCAAGCCAGGCAGACATTCATTTTCTATAAACAAGAGAGTTGTGAGAAGCTGCCTTGAATTCTGATCGAATGTCTCCAGTCTCTCTAGACATCGCCCACCCACCCCACCCTCTTTACTCGAGCTCGGGAGCAGAGTGAGCACCGATATTATTTGTGGAGAACTAGAAGCCTGTTGGGAAAGGCGAATCTGAGATGATATGGCTCTTAGGCATGGTTTGCTGGCTTGTTTGTTTCAAATGCGGCTTTCTTTTAGAATGGAAGGAAAGTGACAGACTTGACTATTGGGAGGCATGAGGCTGAATGTTTTCCTTGCTCAGCCAGGTCCCTGTTAGGAGATGCTGGACACCCACTTCCTCTGGCCCTCTCTGCCCTCCTGGCTGGTGTGTTTGTGGTTGTGCAATGGTATTCTTGCAGCTTCAGGCCACCCTCTGGGGGGCCCAGTTTGGGCTCCTGGCTCAACTTGGATCATAAAAAGTTTTCTGGTGCCCCTTCCGCCAGTGGTTTCTGGAAGGAGTGTCCTATCGCCAATCACCCTCTGTGGTGAGCTTGTCCCTCTGAGTTTGTCCACCAAGCGGCTGGAGGAATGGGGTATGGATGGGAGTAAAGGAAAGAATGCTAGATTGAAGGGGAGGGCCAGGGTCTGCGTGTCCCCCTCCCCATGTAGTTGTGTTTCTGAACTTTCCTTGATGATTCTCAAAGGAAAGGAGGAAGAGAAGGCTCAGCAACTTGACAGCACAGCTTCTGCCTCATCTGAAGCCACTGCTGAAGTGGCTGGCTGCATTTCCCTCTGATAGTGACCTAATGCTCTACTTGGAGGGCATCTAAACACGGCCCAGGCTTCTTGTTTGATGTTTCCCATTTGGTCTCTGCTTTCTAAACATTTATTGTCTTAGTTATTATGAGTTGTAACAAAGTTTTGGAAAGGGTGAGATTTAAATCCATCTTCCTGTTTTATTTCATTTTTAGTTATTTGCAGGACACTGCAATATAAATCGATCACTGTTAGTGCTCTGCTTGAAATAGAAAAAAATGTTTAAAAAATTGCAGGCAATAGGCCTTGTTAAAGAGGACTGTTTCCTCCAACACAATGTTCACATCTGATTCTGCCCACTTTGTATGTAGGTATATGTGGTTGCATACAGACACCTGTCTGTGTATGTATTATAGAAGTATAGCACATATGTATCTATCTTATAAGATATTTAAAAAGAAAGAATTTTAATATAGAATTCTCTTAGTAAGGGATCTTATAGAACCTGTTAGATGCGAGAGAGTTGACTGCTTTCATTATCTCAATTCAGATGTCACAGGAAACCGAGCTTCCCTTTAAAAAATCAAGTAAAAGAAACTTTCTTTGGTTTTGCCCACTTTAAATTAGAATATTAATTTATTTTCATGTGAAATGCTGGAGAACTAATTATGTTTTGGGGAAATATTAAAATTTATTCTTAAAGAAAATGAACTTATTGCCTTAGATACACAGCTGTAGATGACACTTCTTGAAGCAATGTATAACAAAAATTGTTGTCATTTGCTGTACCTATGTTATCCGCTAACAGAAATCGTTAGTATGAACACTACTGCCAGCTAACAAAAGCAAGTGGAAATGTTTCTGGCCTTCACAGAGTAGTGGAAATA